ATGCTTGCAAAAGGACGTTATGCCTTCTGTCAGTGTCAATAAATACAGTGAAAGGCAGCAGCACCTCTACCTACAACCCTTGTCTCATCACCCGTGATCTCACAGAAATAATTCTCAGGATATTTAGGGTATCCAACAACCAATCCCAGCCCCAGTGCTTGCAAAAGGTAAACTGAGAAGAAAATTACAGTAGGGCCTAGTAGACAGTAGGACAAACGCTCTTGGGGCATCAACCCACACAGACACATTCTGGATCCTTTTAAAGAAACAGCTCTGTTAGGAAGAAGAAATAGCTCTTCTATAGAGCTTCTTAGGTTGCCTTTATGTGCCTGGATCTCTCAGAGTGACCCACCTCTCCAAATGCAAACAGCAGACAAAAGCTCTCTTCTTCCACAAAAACTGCATCTAGGCGGAAAGCTTTGCTGACATCTCAGTGCTGTCACGCTCCCATGTGATACAGCCGTGGTCACCAGCCCTCTGGAAGTACCAAGCCCCTGCGGAACTGTACCTCATGTACTTACTTTCACATTTTGCTGTTGCTGGAGTCCAGGTCTCATCAGCATTACAGGTGATCACAGACTGTCCTTTCAGCTGGTAGCCTTCCCTGCATCTGATTGATATGTTCTGACCAACATAAAAATCCACCTCGGACAAAAGGGCATTCTCTGGGATTATGAAAGGCACAGGACAAGGGTTTGCTGTTCAAAGAAAGGATATGAGGGAAAAGCAGAAGGGAGAAAAAACGGATGGAAAGAAGAGAATACTTTAGAATAGTTTATGGATATTTCAAAATCAAATCATATAAAAAGCAATAGAAATGGATGCTGCACACAAGTCTGGTTTGTAATTTGATATCAAATTATGAGATTTGGGTCATAAAATAATAATAAAAGGTTTGATTCTCTGCTGCACATGACTTGCTACCATACTCTACTGATGCCAGTAGAAGACATACCAAGATTTAAGTAAGGAATATCCTACTTGTTACTATCAAACTGTTCTCTCTTGCCCTTCCTGTTTACCATAACCTTACTACAAAAAGGCCGGGACCTACCCTACTTCTTGTTCTGAGGGGCTGGACCAATAAAGAGCAGCAAAAAAAGTTTGAGCAGAGACTTACAATAACATTCATGAGAGTTCAGAATTTCTCTGATAATCTTATTTATTGCTGGCTGTAAGCTTGCTGAGCTATTTTTGCATGGTCTATTGATCTCATCATGAATGTGAAAAAGGTTGGACTCTGTATACAGCAGAGATTGATGTCAGATTCCTGAAACTGAAGTCCTATGAGTCCTTTGTAATACAAAAATTAAATGTCTCAGTTAATCACCCTAAGACTACAGTAAATCTTAAAATTAGTTAGACACATACAGCAACAACGAAGACTATTGTGGGTGGGTGTGTGTGCAGAGTGCACATATGCATAAGATGCTATTTCATAGAATCACAGAATAATTTACGCAGCCATTAAGTCCAGCCTCTTCTCAAAGCAGGGCCAACTAGATCAGATGTTGCTCTGGGACTTCACCAGCTGAAATCTGAGTATCTCCAAGGATGGAGATTTCATGTCCTCTCCAGGTCCCTGTACCTGTTTGATTGCTATGATGGTGAAAATTTACTGGAATCTCCTTTATTGCAACTTGTGTCCATTGCCTCTTAACCTGCTGTAGGTGACCCTGCTTTGGCAGGGGGGGTTGAACCAGATGATCCCCAGAGGTCCCTTCCAACCCCTACCATTCTGTGATTCGATGATCCTGCCAGTGCGCACCTCTGAGAAAAGCCTGGCTCTTTTTTCTTTTCACCCTCCCAGCAGCCAATTGTAGACAACAATAAAGTCTCCCTTTTGCCTTGTCCTTTTCTCTCACCTGCTCCTCCTGTATCAAGTGGTTGACTACAAATGACTCCATTTTATGTCAGCTTTCCAACTAAAGGGAGCTATGCAGAACACAGCTTGTTCTTTTATTGTTACAAAAAAACACTCAGACAAGTTCATGCTCTAACGTGTCTCAGCAACTGCTCCCTTTGTTCTTCTGTAAAATCAGGATGCACACCAACAAACCTCCCAACATAGGCCAAACCAATTTTTTAAACTACAAGTGACAAATTCTGCCCATAGCCATTCCTGAAGAAAACAGTACATTTCCACAAGGATCTGTGGAAGTTGCATTCTTTTACTGTCAGTTTAAGTGAAGAGCAGCCTAGCCTTTAGCGCTTACAAATTGAGACCACATTTCATTACAGAGAAAACACACACGTTTACAGAGAGGCAAGGGGTTACTCCATCTTCCATCTCTTGTGCACTCTGCTGCAGGTTCCCCTTCCAAGCTATATCCTCTCTCGCAGAAATATGCTATTGTACTGCCAACTGTATTGTTTTCATAAACCGCCTTCCCATTCAGCAAGGAAACTGGAACTTTGCATCTGGTCTCTGCAAAGAAAGAGCTCTCATTAATTCAGCTTGATATTGGACCTGGACTTCCAACAACTCCTGAATTACTCACACAGTATGTTTAAAGTAGCAGCCATAGACTAATAAACCATGAAGAGCATTTCACGAGAGTTCAGTAGCCCTGGGAAGGAAAGGCAGTCATGCCAGGGAAGGAGCTCCTCCAAGTGATGGAGAAAAGCCACAGCCACATGTTTTTCAGGTCAGCAAAATGTGGCAGTGCTGGGGAGAAGAGGACACGTTTATGCCTTCATACTGGGGTCAGTGGGGCAGAAGATGGAAATAGTTCTCTCTTACCACTGAGAGCCAGAAACTTGCAGCCCTCTGCACCTTCCTTTTCACCTGACAAGAAGTACCAGATGAGATGCAAAATGGGCTTGGTGCAAGATGTTGACACTTATATTACTAATTGCTCCCCTCAAGATTCTCAGCTGTGTTTCCGAAGCCAGTCGGCAGACAGTCCAAGCTGGGTTACCACTGCTACACAAGTTACTCTGTTCTGCATCCCCTTTTCCACTTCATTTTCCTAGGTGGTCTGTGTAATGGGATGACTGAAGATTAAACTGTCAGACAGGCACAAGGCCGTCAGGCAAGAGGAAGGGAGGAGTTGATGAAGTGGCTGTGCTTAACCTTGTTCTAGATGATCTTCTCAATATCTGTTCGGCACTGGTCATGTATGACTTTTCTTCGGTGCCTGGCTAGGTACCAAGGACCTCCTCTCCGACATGCACGTCCCCTGTCAACTTTCCAGGTTGCTACTTACAAGCTCTGCAAAGCATTTGGGCACTGTAGTGCACAGTGATGTGTGCATTTTGTGGTTGCACAACACGGCATCTGATAGTCCCTAGCCCTCATGCAGTCTTCATGGCTCTGGTGACAGGAACCTAACACCTTGAGTGGAAGATCATTATCTGTCTTACTTCCGTGAAGCCGTCACAGCATGCTAGTCCCTCGTGAATCTGTGTGCATAGCTGGGTGTGGAGCCATCAACATGTCAGCTCCACGTAAGAACTGCACGAGCAACCAAAAAAACAAGCAGGACGCTGGGTGTAGAGTCTAGCTTGAGAGAGCTGACGTATATGCAGCAGGGACAAGAACAGCCTGAAAGCAAGTGCGACGGGCAAGAAATGTACTAGTGTGTACCTGAGAGGAAAGCAAAAATGTGAAGCCCAGACTATGTAACTTCATGGCAAAGAGGCCAGGAACAGAGAACACTCAAAAGTTAATGGTACTGCAATTTAGTGAGCTTCTATATACTTTACGTTTTGAACAGAGTCATTCAACAATACTTTCTATCTGTGCAAACTTGGGATGTTAAGTTTTTTTTCTCCTTTTGTCTTGACAGCCTTGTGACCACCCACTGCTGCCCACTCCACGTGACACATACAGTTCTTTCTCAGCACTCATTCTGCTTTGTGGCATGAGCAACAGGACCTGCTAAGGGAGCACCAGAAAGCAGTGATTTGCGAAATAGTACATATCATGCATTCATGGTGTTTGTTCATGTTAGGAGCGTGGAGGTAAAGGGTGAGCTGTTGAGACTGTACTTGGGGCTCAAAGTTCAGAAAAAGAATATCAACTTAATAATTGACTACAGAAGGCCACTGGGAGAAAAGTAACTTGTCCTTGCAGTCCATCGCCTTTTGTTAGGGGTTTGATTTTATGAGATGGCAATTCACCTCATCTCTCATTAAGCTTGTTAAACTGCAGGTTAAAACCTTAGGAAAAATGATGTCTAAGCTCCTTCTGGCTTGCTGTCCTGGTTTTGGTTAAAACACAACAGAGTCTCTTTCAGTGTATCTTCCTTACAGCTAAGTTCTTCTAAGTAACTGCATTTTTCTGAAGCTGGCTGCATATTTTACAGACAGTGTCTGCTCCAAAGCTGGTAACACCTGATGTTTATAGTTTTACTGAGTTAACAGTAGGAATGGAAGGCAGAAAAAGGCCCCTGTATATAATTATTACTATAGCAGCCAAGGTCCCTGGCAGACCTTTTATGTTGCAGAAGTGAGGAGTCGTAAAGGGTCGCACTTGCAGGGAGGGGCAGACAGGTGACCCCATATTGACCAGCGAGGTATTCCATGCCTTGCACGTCACACTCAGTTTAAATCTGGGGGATCACGAAGGTCTCACTCTCTTTGCCCACGGCCGGGCTTCCCCTGCTCCTTGTCCTGCCTGCGATCCTGATCCATATTCGGATCCGTGCATTCCCGAGTCCAGTCCGGGTCTTCCTGGTGCTGCCTGGCAGCTGCTGGCAGGATGCCAGCGCCCGGACTCTGGGAAACTCAGTGTCGGTTTTGTATATTTTGTTATATTTCTCTTACTGTTAGTATTATTAGTATTATTAGTGTTATTGGTAAAGCTGTTTTGATATTCAATTTGTAAGTCTCTCTCCCTTTTCCTCCTTTTTCCCTTCCCGTGGCGGGGGGACAGGGGTTAATGGAGAGCGTCTGCTACTCTGTTCACGGCCGCCCTGCTCCAAACGGTGACACTTGCTAACAGGCAGTGCTCCTTGTGACACATTTCATTTTTCAGCCACCATTTTTAACACACATTACCGAATTGTTTCCCGAAAGCAGCCCAATCCTTGGGTCATACAATATTCATGCATAAGGGAGGAGCTATTGCTTAAGCCAGATTGGAATTTGCCAGGCCGTGAAACCAGACAGTTAACTTCACACAACGGCAAGGGTTTACTCCAGCTCCCATTGGCAAGACATGTGATGTTCTGGGGCCCAATGAGATGGTATCCAGAGTTGCACACAAAGGTTACATTACTTCTGTATGTGCTTTCTGTAGCAAGGGCCTCTGCTTTTTCTATTGAGGGATGCAGCCCACAAGTAATTCCTAGAAGAGGAGAAAACTTTTTGGTTTTATACAGATAAAAAAGGCCATGCTGTCTACCTGTGACACACTGACAGCTCTGCTCACACAGAATTAATGGACAGACAGAAAGAAAGAATCTGTGAGGTGTTATATGGAGAAGAGTTCTACAGTGCCTTGCCTGCCCCCTCTCGTGGGGTTCAGCCTGCAGACACCTGAGAGAGAACGTGTCCAAATGTATCTGATGGTGTTGTAAGCTATAAGCTGTGTTCCATCAAAGACAGTGATCCTGAATATTCCTTCTGAGCAGGCCAGAGGCTCCACTTCCAGCCTCCTTTACTCCCTGTACAGTGGAAGGTGATCTCAACGTGTTCCCAAGAAGAGTAACAACAGTTAAGAAGGATCTTGCCCCCTGTCCCACACTTACTGTGGAGACCAGGCAAATTGGTTCAAGGTGAGAAAGAAGAATGCAAGAGGCAGGACTATGGCATCACCAGGAACAGACAGGAAATGATTTACTGGTAAAGACTATAAAATCTTGGCATTTTATTTTTAAGTTGTATGAAAAAAGTAATAAATCCTTCTTTCCATGCTCCCACAATAAATCACCTTCTGCTACACAGACAGCCAAGATTTGATCCTAGGGAGCAGGGTCTTTATCTCCAGAGTGGCCAGGATATATTAGCCTTCGCATGGCAGGGACGAACCATCCCAGAACATGATGTCCAAGGCCCTGCACACCACAATGCAAGGCAAATCAAACACACCAGGCCACACTCCTCCCCTTCCGACCTGAGCATGACAAATACTTGCCCATTTTAATGTACCAAAAGCAGCTCCCTTCAGATCAGAGAGGAACTGACAATGACAACTTCTCTGCTGGCTTTTCCTCTGCCTCCTCCTGTTACAGCCCTGCAGCTGGAGGCGGAGACTGGGGGGAAGCCAGCAAAAGCACTCTCTCAGTTTGTTCCTCGGCTCTCCTGGAAAACTGCCACCACTTTGCTCTGCCTGCTACTTACGCATGCATGAGGGGGCGGAGGGGCTCCACTTTTTGTCAACGTGGCAAATCCTTCGGCTTGGTCCCTGTAGCTCAAAGCCAGGGTCACAGCTGTAAAAAACCTCACTGCTGAATAGGAACTCCTCTCCCTGAACAGATCCATTTTCTATCATGTCTGGGGGTCCACACGATACTCCTATAACATAAGGAATATGATCGAATCACCCATCGTGCATATGGCCTGTCCTGTTCACAGCTTCTCCACAGGTTTTACTCTGAGAAACAGGGTAAAACCACAGCATTTACCTAAGCATTCCCAGATATCTGCCTCTGAGTAGCAGAACAGTATCAAGCTTGGTGCTTCTAGTTCCTGCTAAACGACAAAATCTATTGCAGCTGTGCTGGCAGGAAGCCTCAGGAAATTCCACTGTTGCCACTTATAGCCAACAGCTGAAGTCCACATTAGTATTTATGTAGACAACTCCTATTTCGGCACTGCAGTCTGTGGGCACCAGACATCTGACAGAAGTGAAGTACCTCTGAGAATGAGTATCTAACAGAGTTACATTTGAGGATGCCAAGTACCTGTGACTGCTGGCAACTAACGTGTTCAGAGGTCCTCAGTAACCCCAGCAATCATGACCTCAAGTGTCAGAACTATTTAAACTTGGAAGCTGTGTACACAGCTTTCTTAGGGATACAAGAGCAAGGCAGAAAGGTGTATTGATTTCCTTCACGCTATTACCTGCACACACCAGCAATTCTGCAGCTGGTTATCACTGGTACTTGCAAAAAAATTTTAGGCACATGCAGACAGTCTGAGTTATAAAGAAAAATGAGCATTAGTGTTTTCTGTTGTGTAAAATCACCCTTGACCAACATTAAGTGATAATCTCAGGTGGAACGTACTTCTGCACACCGGCACTGTTCCACTCCACAGCTTGTCTTCTTGGCAAGTCCGTTGTGCATCACCCTGTGAACCAAAAGACAATGCTCAAAGAACAACTTTATTTAGTCAACTCTTTTCTCCCATCAGCTCAAACATCTAGCAAGGCCAGGATGTTTTGCCTCCACGTGCAACCCACATAAAGAGATAGTTAAATGCCCAAGTTTACTAGCAGAGTTTAGGGTAGAACTCCTTTCTGTAAAGTGATAAGTATTGTTTACAAACCAAAAGTTTGTGGTGGCAGTTAGTCAGTTCTCTTGCCCTTCTACCTGGAGTATCATCTTTCTTGACAGTGTTACCATTCTTGTTCCCAGGAATGTGTTACAATGACAAATTCTCTCCTTCCAGGACTCAATTATAGAAAATCTAACTAGCATTTTTTTTAACAACAGTACAAGCTTCTGTTTTATAAACATAATGTACTGATTTTGACCACATCCCAAAGACTCATTCTTTAAATTTGCTTATAAATCATGTTCTTTCTTTCTTACGTACAGACTTTATAGCCAGTCTAATAGCCCAGGATTTGTTTGTTTTATTCCAAGACATGGAGTATAACATCTAAATTTGTCCCTTGAAGCAATGTACTTTCATTACAAAGCAAGCCCATTGACAAGGGCAGCTGTTTGACACGAGTGTTGTATGCCATCACAGTCAAGGGACTTTGCTTCCCAATGGAAAAAAAGCAGGACTTTTCAACAGCAGGGAGGCAGATTGACGCTAGGTGGCGAAGCTGGAATACAAAGCTTGGAAGGACTTTTTACCGCATGAAAGCACTGGCTTATTTCGTCCAAAAACTACTAGAAACAGCAATTCTACCTATCTGACTAAACACTAACCCACGCCTCCATTGCCAGCGATATTATATATGTGGCAACATATATATGCATGAATAGCATTCTATATATATCCATATCAATACGGACTAGACATAACACATTCTTACAGTCATCACATAAGAAAACTGAAAATGACAACTAATGGTTTAGAGTGCTGGAGATTTGAGCTTGCTTACTTGTAATTCATAGCCAGAATCACATTTATAAAGAACCACGTCTGTGTAATTGTATTTAGTGCCAACCACAAATCCATGCTCTGGAGACTCTGGGGTCCCACAGGACACAGGAATGCAGATGTCGTCAGAAAGTGGTGGCATCCAAATGCCACCCTCCTGAAAAATAAATGTAATTGAAAGTGTGAAGGCACCACTTCACATGCTTAATTCATATCTAAACTATAAAGTTAGGAAAATGATACTAGAACCATCCAACGGCTGAGGGTCTACATATGTGGTTAATATAATATCATCTGTGCAATCTTTAATAAAACTCAGTAATTTAAGTACCAGTTTTAAGATGTCAACATAGACTGGACCTCAGCTTTGGCAGGAATGTTCAGCTTAGACTTACAAGACAGAAGAAACAAAAAGTAAATGGGGAAATAGAAGTGTGGAAAAGCAAGTTCGCTTGTACAAAGTCACCTAATAGCTCAGGGAATGCATCACCAGAAGAATGAAAACTACAGCTGCCTGGTCCCATGTTCTCTACTTCTTTCTTGGCTGAATGTCTAAAACCATGACAAAGTGCTTCAGCTGCATTCCCAGAGTCTCTAAGGGAAGTCTGATACCTGAAGAGACACTTATCAAACACACCTATTCCTACTACCAAAGATCTTTGAAGCAGCAAAAGCAGGGGAAAACCTTTCCTTACGAAGCACTGATTCTGCAAAAATACACATGCTCAGCTTCTCTCACATGAGCAGACTTACTGAGTTTAAAGAGTCCATTTAAAAGCTTAAGTCAAGGCTGCCCACAGCTAATGCGAGTGACAAGAGGTTACTGCCAGAACTGATGAGGATGTTTGCTCTTTAACATACAGAGGATTCAAGTTTCTACAGCTGCAGAGTGATTAAAACGTGTGCTACCTATTATTGTGGACAAAAAGAGCTCTACGCACAATCCTCAAAATACATTAGAAATCTTGGACATAATTTTTTAAAATATCGGACATAATTTACTCCCTGAAATGTGATAAAAGGAATGCTTTTCTAAAGGACAGCATTAGTTTTTGATGGAAGAAGAAATCAATAATTTCTAGTTCTGAAAGTCTATACATGGGAAACTAATAATTGCTCTTACTGGGCAACAATGAAGCATACTATATTTTGCAGGACATGCTTCAAATGTTTTTGTTGTGTGCAATTAAAGGCCAAAAGTTAATGAGGGCATGAGGAAGACTCTTGAAATCAACGAAGATGGCAAAATAGAACAGTGCAAATAACACTATACCTTGCATGTAGACATGCTTGCTCCCACCAGAGTATAGCCTTCTACACATGACAGAGTGACGTTTGTGTTCAGAGTGAAGTTGTCTCCCAATACGATTACATGGGTGATATTTCCTGGGAGGGGACACTTTCTGGGGCAACAGGAAATACTTTGAGGAGACCACTGTCCATCTTCCTGGCAAACGCATACATCCCCCTCTGTCACCATTGTGTAGCCTTCCAGGCATCTGCAACACAGCATGAAGACCTGACCACAGAGACACAGCTAGGGATGAGCTAACACATAAATTACAAAGTCAGACAGTCATTTTTCAGCCTTAGTTGTTCATAAGCATGCCTTGAGATTTCTCTACTATTTCAAGGTAACCCTGCAAGAAGCATGCCTGGAATGAGATAATTCTGTTGGAAGAGCTGTAAGCTTCAGACTTCATCTCCAGCTGCTTCATGCTGCTGCAGCACTACAATGGAAAGTGAGTTTTCAGCTATAGTGTTTTGAGGGTATAGAATGCTTTAGTGCAGTTCCTGCACTGCCTTTCCCTTTGCAAGGAGGGCTTTTGGATAGGTAAACAGTGTGTGAGAGCCAAGCAGTTCCAGAGACGATCTCACTTTCTTCCAAGAAGAAACCAAGTTATAGGCTGACCACAGGCCATTTGCTTATTTAAGGCTGATTTGCTCTGTGCCACACAGTGCTTCACCACGAGCAACTCAGTTGGCTTGCACAAGTGGGTTCACTTGTAGAAAGGCAGACACAAGCACCCCCTCCACCTCGTTAAAGAGGCATGGAAATGACTGATACTGCTAAATTCATCCACATGCCATCTCACAGTTCTGTCCCATACTATTATTTGCTTTTATTGCCAAAAAAACATCTTCTCTTCTGTCAAGGAATTCCTTATGTTGGAGTAAGAGATCTGCAGTGTGCACACTTCAGGCAATTAACAAAAGTCCCTTTCTTTCATATCTGACAAAAGAATAACTTCACATCAGCAATACTTGCGGACAGTGCAGTGCTGCAGCACAGAAAACGGGACAAGAGGGAGATCAGCCCTTCTGCATTACAACAGACACCTGAAGCAGGAGGAAGACGTAAAGAGGGTGTCAAAACGTGAGAAAAATTTCACACCCCGCTGCCTGTTGCTGCCACCTGCTAAGAAAACCTGTATGTCCAGACCAGTGTTTCAGAGGAGAAGAATGCAAAGGGGAATGGGAAACTAAAGCTGGTGGAGGAATGCAACCCAACAGGCAGAAATACCTTGCTGGAGTTTTGACAGTGGTCTAGATAATATTTTCTGTGTGCATGGGAACATAGGCTTTGTCAATCTGAGCATTTGATAGGGCATAACTTTTCTTCCAGGTCTTTTAAAAACTTGCACTAACAGGGTGCATAAACCTTCCATCTTCAGTCCTTCAGAGATTTTATGGAAACAGAATGGCAGCAGCATCCTTACCTGTACTGGACCTTGCTCCCATATGTATAAGTGTTTCCAATAACCTCTGCATTTGGGACAGAAGGTGGTGGGCCACAGCTTAACAGCTCACAGCTTGGGTATGGCTTCTTCCAGTCACCAGCCTCCACGCAAGTCAGTTCTGGACTCCCCTGCATGACAAAACCTGTCAAGCAGGTATAGATGATGGTGTTCTCATCTCCAGAGCTGCTCCCATTGATAAATGTGTTGGGGATGACAGGTGGAGAGCCACAGGAAATCTGCCCGCAGCGAGGAAACCCAGAACTCCACTTGCCAGCTGCCTCACAGGTGACTTCAGAAGGCCCTAGCAGTTTGAAGCCCTCCAGGCATTGAAACTGGGCACTCTTCTCACAGCTGAAATCTGTACCAAGAACGACCCCATTCTGAATCTGTGGTGTAGGACACAGACAGGGTATGCAAGATGGAAGGCTTCCACTCCAGGAGCCATTGGACAAACATTGCCGTAAAGGATTGC